TTTAACAAAAAGTGCGATCAGCGCTGCTGGTCAAGTTTCATTGTTAATAGAAAAATAACGGCTTATTATTTGCAGGAGGACTTCGCCGCTTCGACGCGCCGCCCAAGCTATCATTCTTAGTACTAAGCATCACACAAGCAATATACTTTTTAATGAAAAATTTTGTTTTATTTTATAAAGCCCTTGCGTTTTGACGTTGCATAGTTAGGCAAAATTTAAAATTCAATAATATTTAGTTCACAGAATTATAATTTACGCTTTTTGGTAATTTCAAGTGGCTAAACTGTTTTTAAAATTCAAGATATGCATGGCATTAAGAAAGAATTATGACGTTTAGTGATCACTGTCAAGCATTTTCAAATTGTCGTTGTATCGTATTTGAGCGCGCCGCGCACTTTTTCATCATGAATCGCTATTCTCGAATCGAGCGCTACATTTCGATTTCTCTTCACCATCCACACTCTGTATCACCAAAATTGGTCCACCAAAAGTAAAACCGGTATATTTTGTCTTACAGTAGTTCGTTGTCATACTTTCTGTTAACGGGTGATACTCTTAAAATATCTGTTCCATATATTGGACCGTCGACGAGTCCAACTCGGCGCGCGTCCTGGTAGGTTGTAAACCTACAAACTTTCTGGTGATCCTTTAGTTTAGAATCTTGCTCACTCAGTATTTATATATACCAATTTCACTATAATCATCAAGTTCTTAAGTCCTCACAAATCACTATCTATCCTTACTATCGCCATCCTCATCTTTAGTTTAGTTAATAATAATAATAAAAATTCTATACTGTTACATAATTTAAAAATTATGGCCCCTTATTGTGGGCAGAGTATGTGTCTTTATTTAAGTGTCCTGATTTAAAAATCATCTGAGTGACTGCATTGAAATAATTTAATGAGAGTACCATAAAAACGTTAAAACAAAAGGAGTAACAACTAGAACATACTTATATTAATATCAACATTAGAACAAAATACAGTCACCTAATTCTCTTCTCCTACGGTTGAGTATAGAGGAACCATCTTTGGCGTGTATTAGGGACTTAGACCATTACAAATACCCTGCTGTAAGTTTGCAAGGTATGTGGACTATGTGGGTCGAGAGTACTCGACTTGGAAGTGGGTGTTGAGAATTCTCAACTAAACTAGAAGATAATGATGTCCAGAAGATGAGGCAGTAGATGTAGTAGTAAAGGAGTAGTAGAGGCTGAAGGGGGAGTGATGTCATAAGGAGATGTAGGACATGAAGGGGGATGGAGGTGAAGGAGTACTATAAGTATAAGTATCAATTCTATGATAGTTCACCGATGGCGATCTGTGCTAAAGATCGGAAGGCAGTGATGCTGCCATCACTACCATCTCTTAAGATAGACCAGCATGGTTGGTCATTAGTGGAGTGCTCTTGAATGGTTTCTCTGTAGGAACAGCGGTACAGTGGACAAGAGAAGATTCGATGGTAATTGTTGTCCAACATCTGAAAATTCGGACACTGAGGGTCGCAGTTGTTGGCAACCCTTGCCTTGAATGCTGTGAAGGTGATGTCATGGCCATGCAAGAGAGACATTACTTTAGTGTCTGTGCTCCTGCTTGAATAGCGAGGAAACAACTTTTTGCTCCTCTCATCGATGTTATCCAGTATCTCACCCGGATTTATTCTAGGGTTCAGTAGGAGATGTTTATTCCAGGTGAAGTCCTAGTTTAGTTAATACCTCTGAACACCCCAACACAATCAGATAGCATCTAAATCGTCAAAACACATATTTTGCCGACAGTCAGTGGCTGTTATTGTTATAATCATGTATCTGTATAGATTTATACTTATCATTATTCCAATGTTATTTTTTGTACTTTTGTTAATTTTCCTGGCTCTCAGTGACAGCGATTAACGTGGTCAGTGCAGTGGCGTAACGTTGCCTGTTGGCGCCCCCCGCCGAAAAGGCGCCCCCTCCCCTTTTGGTGCCCCTCCCTAAAATTGAACAAATTAGGTGATTTTAGAGGATACGCCGGTAAAATCTCTAAAAAAGTGTGCATCTAGAGCAAAACATGCAGTTTTGCTAATACTTTAGTTAAGTTTTCGAAATTGTCCCACATTCAAACGACGATTTGGCGCCCCCCAAGACGGTGCCCCCCTGCACAGCGGGGTCAGCGCAGCGGGGCCCTTCGTTACGCCACTGGGTCAGTGTATCTTCTATATTCATCAATATTTTGGCCCAAACTGCAACTTTCTGGTATTTTGTGGCAAAGATAAAATATAATAAATGAACCGATCATCAGAAAACTACTTATATTAGAGTATATAACTAACATGTCCAAACGCAAGCCACTAACATTGGCTGCCCTGAGAGGGACACCTAAGTTACCAAAAGTGAGTTACTAGTAACTTCATATTATGTACAAACAATTTGTTTCACTATTTCTGAGGATAGTTGCATCCCATAGAAATTTATGTGTCCTACTGGCACTGCAACTTCTTATTTGTACATTATAAACTATAACCTTTCTGAGAAGTTATTAATAAATGGTAAATCAATTTCAGATAGATCATCACATTGATTCCAAGGAGGATAACGATGAAGATTTCGATGATTTTGACACTGCCATTCTTGAGTTATCAGAAATTGAGGAAAACGTTAAATTCATCTTGACGTCTTTGCGTTTGAACTCTGGAATTGCTCCCATTGTAACCAAGGCAATGCTGTACAGTCAGCTGGGTTGCAAAACTCAAGTAGATAAAGATCTTACTGGGCTCAGAAAAAGCAACAAGATAATGCGATTTCCATTTCGATCATCATCTGTAGACTATGTAATGCTTTTCAGTGATTATATAACAGTCCTCAAACAACATTTATTGACTCATAACATTGCATCTACCAAAGTTATAGAGGCTCTTAAGAAACATTGTGATGTCATTTACTTTTCTAAAGTGGATTTAAAAGGTAAATTCTGTTTATCAGACGATGCAATAAAGAGTTTGACTCAGGATAAACTTTTGTTGCTAAATTCCAATTCCACTTATGAATTTTCAGTCCCATGTGCAGGCAACTATATTGAGCGTTTGAGTCAAGGAAGATTAAGAATTGTAAAGGTTTTACAAAATCGACCATCTAACGAAATTCTAGAGCAAGAATTGATTGATATGAAGCTTAAGCAATGTTCACTAGGAATTAAATTCTTACTGTATGACATGATTGGCAATGGTCAGGTAAAATCTGTAAAATGTGGTATGGGAAATCTTATAAGACTGGGTAAAAAATGAAGGTTTCACTGAAAATTGTACATACCTTTTTTTGCTAACGTTTTCAAATGGTGCTATAATTTGTGCATTCATTTGTTTACTCAAGCTACTTTGCAGAGTTGTCTTAGAACCATTATTCTTGGTTTGTTGTTGATCAGGGTGAAAATACATTTTTTGGGTTGTGTACTTTTATTCAAATTGCATGGGTAAATGGGTCTTTACTTGAATTATATTGTATAAATTTATTGATGTATTAGATTGTGCTGTACAGTGTACAATACATATTTGTATTTAATCGTTGTTGCTAGCTTTTATTCTTATATATTAGTAAATCGATCATAATATTCATTTGGCTATTTCGAATATTGATTTAAGAGGTCAAACTTTTAACAAAACTTCTCAGATGGAAGGATTTGATGGTCTCTGTTTGATAGAAAATGAAGCAGATAGTGGAGATGAGAATGAGAAGAAGAGACCAGAAGAAAGTTATATTCCCTTGAAAAGAGAGCCCTTTGGTTTTCTTGACGATCCCCCTCCAGACTTGTCCCCTCAGATAACGAGTAATTTCTCCACTTCTAAAGTTATGTATTATTACGGTCGGGAAGAATACCAAACAGCAATAAACTTGTCCCTTCACTTCTTATCGGACCCAATGAATGCCAAGTTTAATAAACCTCTTATGTGTCAATTCCATGATGTTTTGTGCAGAAGTTACCTGGAACTTGGTTTGCCTCACAAAGCTAAGGTACACTGCCAGTTTCTAGTAGAAACATGCGGTCACGGTGATTCTGATGTCTGGATGTCTTTGTCTGTCATTGAATTTTTATCAGGGAATGTAGAAACAGGTTTTAAGAATTTAGAGAGGTCTGTGGCCATGCGTAATTCTCATCCGAACATTTGGTTGCTTTATGCTACTGTACTTGCACATTTTCATCAGCACCATTCTGCTCTCATCTCTGGGATTTCACATAAACTTCGTGCTTGTGATGCCCACAAACGTTTTCATAAGAAATGGAAGAACGTTTTCGAAATGGAAGTCAATCACAATGAACAGTTTAAAGATCACATCTACTTTTTCATCATTTGTTGTTTGCACAACGCAGTCCGGTTGTCACGAGCTACATACGAACAGCACAATAGCAAAGCTTACACCCTGTTCTCCACTGCTTGGTCTAAAGAGGCTGGTGAGATTTTAAAGGAGATTATAGACTCTGCTCCAGAAGGATTCGACTCTCATTTGGAGAAAAACTACAATGCCATTCACTTTCAGAACTGGGATGATGTTTCTTGGGATGAGGTTGATTTTGTGAACTCTTTTCTCAAAAATAGTTTGCCAACCATAGATTCATGATAATAATGTTCATATAATATACATGTAACTATAGTTTTATAGGATTTTAGATCTGTGCATTTATTTCTCGAAGGTTTTGTTTTAACTGTTATTTTGCTTTAGTTTTTCTTTTAGGATTTAATTTATTACTTGGATGTACAATTTCGACCTTTACAGGCTTGCATTTCCTTCACAGTTTTCTACATTATAAGTGTTGGTGAATTCATTATTTCAGATCACACATAAATTCCTTAAGTGTAGGCTACACTGTGTAGCCACGAAATAGAGAATCAGAAGTTAGAACTCCAAATCATCTTATCATGAGACTTAAGAGATTTGTATTGAATCATTCCTGATTTTACCCTCAATATTGAGGCACAATTTAACATCATAAACACAATAATAAAGCAAACATTACCGTTACAATAGCACAGGTACAAGCTACAGCATGTATTGAAGAAGGAGTGTTGGAATAGCTGAACTGATGGCTGCTGTAAATGAAAGTGACAGGATCAAATCACCTAGTGATAATGACGTTGTGCCTGTTGAGTCGTGAGTTTTCTTTTTGTATTTTTTACTGTTCATGTTTATCTGATTTTTGATCGAATTGAACTTTATCAGGTTACATTAGAAAGATAGCAAACTTTAATTTGTTACGATGGGAACTAGCTTAAAACTGAAAATATAATTTAAGTGGTATCCCAACCCACTGCCCAGATCATTCATCATACACTCACTTAGTAAGTAAGTATAAACCTTCAGTTGAGCTGTGAACTTGCTTTGGTAGCCCTTCATTTTCGAATCTACCAGACCAATTACCTAATCAATTATGTAGAATTACCACATACATAATTAGTTATTTATCCTAACGACAGTTTTTAAACCAGGTACCTGTGCGAGGAGGATCACGACTGTGTAATAATACACGAAGTATTTGACGGTCAGGCACCGCTAGAGAAGGGAGAGCGGGAGCTGGACAAGGCTATGGTGGCAAAACACAGCACCATCGTTATAGAGCCTCATCAGCTAGGTTTGTGTGCTTGTTTTACAGGCCAAAGTGGTTGATATTTTAGTTGTATATATATATAGTACTAATTATATACACAAAATGAACAACAGTACGCTATTAGATATCTACTCATCTACTGTTACACATTACAAGTTTTTTTTAATGAATTGTTGTCTTCAGAATTATTAGCAGTGTGATATTTTAAGGCTTTGTGAGAAATTATCTATTTTCACGGGTTCCTGGAGTTTTTATAACTTTGCTGAGCAAAAGCATTACTCAAAAAGTATACAGTAGTGCAAAATAGTTGTGTATACATTTAAAACGCCGGAGAACATTACTTTAAAGCTTTAAGAGCTTAACACTTCATAGAGGGCCCCAGGTTGTATCCAACAGATCTTTAGTTGTTGTTTTCATTATCAGCTGTACCACATCTGTTCAATCCTCTAGCTTTAGTATGTTGTTTTAGTTTCATGTTGAAATTACTCAAATTAATGTTATCGTTAGTTAGATTTTATTAGACATTTAGACGATGAAGACATCTGTGAAGACAGCTAGTACAGTATTAGTTTTTAAAACGTGCTGGTACCATCTTGCCAGTTGTATCCAATGTATCTAACTTGTATTAGTTCCCTTTAGTTGTTTAGACAGATCATTAGTTCACCTTTTGTTCCACCTAGTAAAGTAACTAAATTAAGGTGTGGCCGTAGGCTGTGAAATTATCACAGGAACTCCTCCAAATGACGTTTGTTAAACCCTGTTTTAGGTATAGTTTACAGCGTCATGCAAGCTGTGTTGATTCGTTACGTCATCAATAAATAAAAACCTAACTCCCTCACGAAGATTAATAAACTAAGGAACTAACTTCTTCACCTACTATTTCCGTTCTATAATTGTTTCCTTAGTCTCCTTGTCTCCTTAGTCGTCTGTTTCATAATCTTGACTCGGTGCGAGCTGCCTTAGTCCAGGTGCAAGGTGCATTACTATCATCGCAGAGAAAATCTTTAGCCCTATCTGCCAAATCATGCTGTACGGGGTCGTTTGTACCCACCCGACCTTCATAATTATCAACTTTTCGTTAGCATGTCTAGACTTCATACTACAAAAATATCGAACTTATTTTTTCTTGAAATTTACAATACAGCAATTTCACAATTAATCGGCAGATCGCAGAGCTAATTTTGTTGCTTCAAACTCAAAGAACCGTATCAACTGGTCTTTAAGTATTTTAAATGTAAGGCTTTTCTTACGTGTTGCATAACTTTTGTCTTTTTACCGCATTGATGGAAGTTGGAACACTTCTAATCTAATCGACCCATTGCACCTGGGCACCATGCTATGCGAAATCTCTAAATATTAGAGCACAAAGTCTGTCCGTTTTGGTCGAGTAGCGGCTCGATATAGTTTGATTTTACCGTTTGTTGGGCGGTTTCTCATATTGAAGCTTGAACACCTGTTTTTTGTAAGAGTGTCATTAAATAGACAAATATTAAGTTTGGGGCGTATCAACTGATCATTTATATCGTACTCCCACGAACTTTGACGCATTTTGAAAGATTGTGTCAATATAATTGGTGTATATATAACACCCACTCTATCCATCTCTCGTTCAGTTGGTCAGGAATCAGGATGAAGGTGCTTTTACTTGTTGTTCTAATCTGTGCCTCCTCTGTCTTTGCACGACTGGAGATTGAGGAATGGATACCTATCACCGAATCACAGGATGTCACAGAAGCAAAGCCTGGATGGCATAATGACTGTGTAGATGACTTGGAAACCATTTTCAAAGACAAGGATATCATCGAGGATGATGATTTAGCTATGAAAGGAGAGGGAGAAGCTAAGAACGTGTTAAATGATAAGGGTTGTCCGCAACAGAGAGTGATTGACACCGCTGTCGTGTTCTGCAAGTACTCCTGGAAAAGCAAGAAGAGGGGCTGCAAAACAGCATTAGGAGACTTCAAAACTTTCCTCGAAAAGGATGACTATGATGAACAGATTCTGGGTTGTGGTTTTGCGTCTGATAACGGCAAAGGATTCGCTTTTGTCTGCCTGAAAGAGAGGGAGCCACAAAAGCTAAGGAGGCTTCAAAACACTGTGACAAGCGTTTGTCAAAACGGAATCAATGAACTTTACAAAAAAGATAACGTTTACAAAGATGCAGATCTGGAGGACAAAGCACTGTATACCAGCCAAACAGCTCTCGACAAAGGTAACTGCAAAGAATCACCAGCAAACAGCCGGTGTAAAGTTATCAGAAACCTGGTGTCTGTAGACAGGGCTTCTGTATGTGTCGCCCTCACTGACGGAATTAACCCAAGAGTGGCAAAACGAGTCGGTTGTAAGTTCGTTCAAGAAGGTAATGGAGCCTTGACATGTGTAATCAGGCCAAAGTAACAAGATCAGCATCCAAAGTTAGAAAATATAGGGAAAGTGGACGAAATATATAAAAGATTCAAGTTAAATTTCTTAAGGGATGATATAGCTTTAATAGGCACACATACAATTATTTTTTTATAAAATTTGGCACCCCGGAAATTAATAAATTAATCACGATTTTGTTGTTGATTTTATCATATTGTTGTTTTCTTTGAATGTTTTTTTTTCAGTTCAATTGCTGTCTCTGTTGAAGTCACATTAAGAATTAGAAAATATTAACCCAGAAAAGTCGATTGAAAGTATTAAAAACATAATGAAAATATGATACACATATAGTATACATATACAAACAACAAAAAACGGCTAATATGATATAAGCTTTAATTTGCACGTCAGCATGAACATTAAAAATTAAACGTACTCTCATAAAAATAATTAGAAACGACTAAAATACTTTAAAATACTGTAAACAATTTGGTACTACGGGTTCTATTCGCAGGTGAAGAATGTATGAGGTACATCAGAGTTGGGAACGCCCTTCACAAGGTCTGCGTCTTATCCGGAGTCACCGCTCTAGGTATGGCTATACATTGTATTGTATATACATTGTTTACAGTATCCAGGCTCCATTAGCTGATTTTTTAATAATATAATACCTTTTTTTAAATTTTAGTACATATAATATATTGCTAACTTATATTACATGCTTTAGAATCTGCTTTGTAAATTACACGAGGAACTTGTAGCCAGGAACTAGTAGCTAATAAGACTTAATTTATAAAGGACTGATTGTAAAGGACTTATTGAATAAGTCCTTCACGATCAGTTAAAAGCAGTTTGCTAACTCAGATATATAATATGATTATTTAAATGATACCCAATAACACTGATCACATGAGCAAGTTCTAGTGTTCAATGTTAACCAGCTCACTGAACTGTAAAGGAGAACATAACTGAATATTCCTCTTTTCCCAGGTGTTTCCGGTTTCAAATGGTCGTGGTCGATACCGTTCAGTGCCCTAACTGTGGGGTGCGCTGCAGTGTACCAATTCAGTTGGCAGCACGATCCAGCTTGTAAATATCAGGTTAGTTCAATAGTTTTGTAAAGCTAGACTTGAAAGAGAAAAGTCCGTTAAGATACGGGAGAAACAGGTAGCTAATAGCCAGTGGAGTTTTAATCTGAACTTTTTATGTAAAATCTGGAATGGAGTATTGTTTATGAGTCGCATGGTTGCAACTTTGCAATGTATTCTTTTTAGATCAAAGTAAAATCTGTTTCAAATCGCGATCAGTTATATGGATACACTTTTAATTCAGCACTTTTTATGACGACTGTCTCCCACCCCAGGTAGACACTGCTGGTCACTATCTTCACAGGATCCCGCTGGATCAGCTCACTGCCTCTGCGCCGATTATCCTCCTGCGACGCGACGACCGCGTCAGGAAGAAACTCCACAATACTATTGCGGGTGCTTGCGGCATCCTTCTGGTTTACCAGCTTTTTTCATACGCTACTAGTTGAGTGCTGCATGTTGTAGCAGTGGTTGTTGGAAGTTATAAGTTGAATGTTTTAAGTACCTATGTCTAGATTCCTGGGCTTATTGCTTTCTTGTATTTTTGAATTTTGTTATTTTCCAGTTTTCCGGATTAAGATAAATCTCAGAAAATGTTTTTCAACCATGGATGATATAACTGAACATGAATATTTGAGCTAAGTAGATGTTAGCGCGCTGCAGGAATTATGACAAATGCCTGATTATTTAACATAATCGGTCTGAACGAGGAGATATATTACATTTTGTATTCATAAGTTTATATCATGGCTCTAGTTAATTTTTAAGCTTACCTAGCGGTACCTATTATATGATGTTATTTTTTATTGTTAAACTGGAAATGTAAACAATTCATTCATTGCCACCCAATTAGGTTCATCTAGGAATCTTGGCTTATTTAACTTGAGCCAAAATTGTGTTAAATGATTTAAAAAAAATTGGAACTAATTTGGTAAATTAGACACATATGAGTTACGCCTAAAAAGACGGCAAATATTTACACTTGATTTCGTAACTTCTAGCCGAAAAGAGCTCTCCAAATTCACTGTACTTAATACAAGAGTCTCCCGATAGTTGAACTAAACACTTTTGTTAGCCGTAACAATGAACGACAGTGAGCCAAGTGGTAGTGGCGTGTCACGTGACAGCGGTGTACCAATGGACACATTTGATGATAGCGTGGTTTGTAAGAACTCAGTCTCGTCCGGTAATGTGGTGTTCTTACACCCTCTGGTGGCTATGAACATTGCTGATCATGCGACCAGATACAAGATCAACAACAAGGACCATCAGTACGGTTAGTCTAGATAACCGGGTGTCACAATATTCAATAAGAATACCGTCAATTTGTAACACTCCTTATTAAATGCGATGCACAATAATCATTTTTATACGTCACGAAACGCCAGTTTTTCTGTTTCGTTCACTACAAACTTAATCTTGAATCCCTTAATCCACAGCACTGGGAGTATTGCTAGGAAAACAGACAGGTCGAGATATTGAGATAATATCTTCATTTGACGTGTGTTACGATGTGGTAGATAACTCCTGGATACTCAACAGGGACTACCTTGACAGCAGGCTTGAACAAGGTTTGTTCTTTTGTTTTGTTCTTCCGTACTTCACCTTATTATAGCAAAATCGGTCGTTGAAGTTTAGTCACCTTCGTTGGAGGTAACTAAACTGTCAATTTAATTATTCATTATACAGTAATGAAAAGATATAACTTACAAGATTCATGATAACCTACCATAACAGTTGATCGCTTCTGACATACTCTTTTCAGTGTCTCAGATCCCCGCTGGCGGGGCAAGTTGGGCGGAGTCCACCAGCTCCGTTAGTGATGTAGTGGGATGGTACGCGCTGGGTAGCTCCCCTGCCACACGACACATCGGTATGCACACACAGATGTGCCAGGTTAATGAGAGCGTTGTGTTGCTCATGTTCGATCATACCAACGAGAAGGAGCTTTCCATGAAAACGTACGAGTCACTCGTCGACCTTTCCAACAACCAGGTTTAGATTATTTTCTTGAGTCATTACACGAGAAATACGGTCACTCACTTTTTGATCGTCAGCTTAATTTATATCCACAAATAATTGACACGCTCGTCAGACGTAATTTATGATAGGGAATTTCGTGTGTTCTTTTCAAGAGCTCTACTTTATACAGGTTAATATTTTGCATAAACCACGTGACTTTTCTATCTCATTACCCGGAAACTAATCAAACCGATCCTTCTCCTTCCAGAGTAGAACAGTGTTCGTTGAGAGCCAATACACAGTTAAGACTACTGAGAGTGAACGTATTGGTATAGACCATGCAGCTGGGGCTAATGTATCTGGTAAGTTTCTGTGCTATCATATCACGCTAAGCTTCTTCATTTATAAGACAAAATTGTTATACAGATCTGAATAAATACTGATGCATAAAATTAATAGGGAATGTTTTTTTTTTTCTAAAGTAAGTAATGCGCAGGATTATTATCCAAACTAAATGATAAACATTTGAATTATTTCTTGATCACAGGATTCAGCGCAGTGTCCGACGTTGTCAGTTCAAATCAAAGTGCTATAACCATGTTGAACGGACGAGCACAAGTTATATGTGACTACATTAGAGAAGTTAAAGAAGGCAAGAATCTTTATATCTTAATATATCGGACATATTGATAATATATTACAATAAAATCATGATATACTGCGGAGTTTGGGGAAAGGAAATGGCCGCGGTAAATCTGGGGGTTTTACTGTATTATTGATCGGGGTGATTCTTGTTTTACTAGGGGTGATTTTATCATAATTTGATATTTCATTCCAATTAATGGGATACTTTTCGTCCTCGATATGTTATAGTTTCTAATAAGTCTGATTTCAGGTAAAAGGAAATCAAACCCAGCTATAATGCGGGCTATATCGAGTTTGGTATCTTCGTTACCCTTAGCTCAACAACATACTGATAACTTTGATGCTCAATGCAGTCAGGTAATTTGATAAATTCTTTCTCAATATTTTCCTACAAAAGCCGATTTCGTTTCAGAAGGGAAAAAATTATAAAAATATACATCCAATCAGATTAAGTGATCCAATTAGCAGATCTCAATATAATACATGTATGTACTTTCTAATTGAAGATCTATCTTATTCGGTCCTACAAATATTGTGCATATTTGTAAGGCTCGATGACATCCTTGTATGCGAACAGTCTACAATTTCGCGCGTCTTTAGATTATCGTTTATATAATTGCTGGGCGGGAACGTACTCACGTGGACGGGTCTATGAACGACTGGTCCGAACGGACGTGACCTTCCTCATTCCTGACTGATGAACCTGCTATCTCGTTGCTACAATCACTGTAATCTTGTTGCCACTCACGCATATTTCCCGTTACAGGAAGTAGTAGAAGCTATGATGATCGCCTCGCTTGCTACACTAACAAGAGGAATTATGACACACGACGAGATTGCTGCCAAATCTAACGTTATCTACTCTCACAACGTGACGAATAAAAAGATACGGAGTTTAGATGTTTTCTCAGCTTTCTCCAGAAATTTGCCGATATGAAGATCCTAGGATGACATTATATATGAACTACATGGGATGTCAGAATGAAATGTGGGTATGGTTTCATAAGAGTTGTCTTGTGGAGAGTTAAATGAGAATAGAACACGAACACCGCATTGTCTTCGGTAATGAATCGTGAAATGAGCAAGTGTTGGACTTGGGACTGTTGGGTCTTTTTAGTATTTAATTTTCTTGCATTATATTTGGAAAATGGGCCAAGGGTAGAAAAAATAAATCTCAGGTTATTATATCTGTATATTTGCTGGTATGTATGTTTTGATGATGAACTATTGACACAATTAATATTGGTGTTTAATGTATTCCCGAAATCCTCCTAAGAAATCACATTAGTGTTGTCAAATTCAACTAGCCTCTTAGGTTTGTATTTTCAAGTTTTGTGATACAAGTACAGTAGAACCCCGATTTACCGCAAAGCCCGATAGACCATTTACCGTGGCTTACAGTCAGTATGTGAACAATCCAAACCAAGAGTCACCGCAGCCGTTTTCTTAATACCCAAAACTCCGCGGTATATCAGAGTTAAAGATGCAATATAATAATCTCCGGGCTGGGACCATTTCATTTGAAAACACTAAGCTATTATAGTGCCTTAATGATTGTTGACAAGAAAAGTAAATACATAGCTGAATAGGGTTTACAATTAAATACGCAGGTCACATCCCAAATATACGCCGTACAACAGCCATTACAAATTCTTCTCAATTCCACAATGAATTTCAAATATAAATAACATAAACATCGTTAAGAAACTTGCATCGTGTGTACATAAAGTAGATATTCTTCTTCGATTTTGAGGAGTACCCCAAAAATATATGTATTAAATGATCCATTGAAATGAGAACTAAATTATTTTTCAGTCCACAATTATAGAACAAAATCCTTGTCACCACCTTCTAGAAAATTAAAAGCGACCTTTACATCCTCTCATAAAGATACATATAAGCCATATCTTTAGGGGGCGTGACTGACAGAGCAACCTTTTCGTCGTTATACAGAACCCACCGTCCCTCCTTATCCCGGATGTGACAGACGTAGTGCCCGCACGCCGTGCTGCTACCCATGTGGGATATAAAGGCTTTTAACCTGTAGCGCCCAGGTCCATCTGGCAGGGAGGAGGAGGCGGAGGGAGAACTTGCGGGCTCTTCCTGGTCGAGCTCGTCGGCGTGGGAAAATATCCAATCTGCTGCCCGCTCAAGGTTGTTGTCACACTTTTTTAGCGCTTTAGTTCCCTGTTGGACTGTGAAGCCCATGGCACATAACATTTGTACGTCATCTTGATTGACAGTAACTTCAGATGTTGCAGTTTTGTGGGCTGCTCTATTACAAGCGGGTCATTTAAGTCTGGGTCATCCATATGACTGAAAATCCATTCCATAGCTTGTTCAGTCCCACCGTTTTTAGTATGATAGGCTGCCTTACGACAGGCCTCGAAACCGAATCCCATATTCATCAAGTTCTCTACGATAGCAGGATCCGGTTCAAGAGGAGCTTCAGTTGGACCGGCCGGTAATTCAACCTCGCCAGGCTTCAGGCCATTACTTCGTAAGTGTTCTAGATCTAACACATCTGGTACATCCAGCAAAACATCCAACTTTTTAGGCTGCCAGTTGGCAGTAAGGGTAAATCTTCGGGCTTGGAGCATAAGGTAGTTAGGGAATGTTTTAAGACCAGTCGTTTTACTGGCAGTCCCTTTCTGTGCGGTCTCGGGACTCAGGAAATCTTGTATCACTTCAGGAGATGAAAATGTTGTAAAACAGTCTCCCAGACTGAGGTTATATTTAACATAGTCTTCAGGTTTGATCTTCTCGCCAGCTGCTTCCAGCTCCGACTTTTTAGCTTCCCAAGCTTTAGCAGCTGTAAAATTTGATGCCTTTTCCAGTGGTATGGGCAGGGACAGACAGTAATCTTTTCTAGATTTGTAGAGAACCTTCTGAGAGGCATTGCACTGAATTCTGTCTTCCACTTCGAAACACAGGTCGTCAGAGCAAGCCAAATTGGGAGTCTTACGTTCTTCTTTCTCTGGAGAAATGAAGGTGAACGGTGTGAATCAATATTTTACCCATTCAATATTAACATATATAATACATGGTGCAAACATTTAAAAGTGTTAATAAGTTTAAAACAGTGTAGACGACTGCAAAATAAATCCAAGAAATTAAACCTAAAACAGTGATAAGATGAAGAAAGAACTCGTGAGCATCTTGCTGTCTCGTTGAAGAGAACTCTGGGTGTCCTTGACCGATTATCGATTTCAATAACGCAGGTCTTACGCCTGTGGTAATGACATTTATCCAAACTTGCAGTATATCGTGGTCCGTGGAGACTGGGTCTAACATAAAATACGCAACTTAATTACGCTGCAATTTCTCAATTATTGCATGGCACGAAAATTTAAACATACCGTTTTCTTGCCCGGGTTTCAAATCCTCGGGACCGACAGAATACTTCCCAGGATTTTGAGTGTAATGAATGAGGTTCTTTAGCTGTGTCCCAAAGTCAGTTGGAACCTGAATGTTTGTTATTGATTGAATCAACTAACTCAATGATAAATTCGGTCGTGGAACAAATGCTGAATGTGCTTTCATTATTAGTCAGACTATGCGCGCTACTGGAACAGTAATAATTGCCACAATCTTATTATTATCAAAATATGATAGCAATCAATACCTTTAGTCTTGACGAGATAATTAAAATCGTTCAATTATCATTAAATCTAACCTGGGAGCTTGAAGTGCCGTTTGCTAAGTATTTATTCGAAATCTTTCCAACACAGTTTACTAAAACCTGCAAAAAGTAAGCCCATGTGTTATAAGACGAACTTGCACGAAAATGTAAATTTTCAGCGTAAATTTAATTTTGATTGTGATCATTAGTTAAACTAAGACACGAACCTGAAGCACGCTGTTCATGTAACAAGTGTTACCCATGTTGACATAACCCAAATAGCCGGAACCAAATACCGGTTTCAGAGCCACACCCGACTCAAGAATGTTGTCACACTCAAACTTAAAGTTCATGTTTGCAGCAATTTCTAGCTCGTTCATGGTCTTATCTGAAAAGTTCAGGACATCCATAATCAAACTATCTTTGTTTAGACAAAAGTTTAAACAAAATTGTAATATAACTGCTGGTTCCTTATTACCTCTTCAAGGCCTCCTCCGTATTGACTTGTATACAGGGGTTGTCTAAAGAATGATCAAAGATGGCTTGGTATGTATCAATATAACCAAGGCTACTTTTATTCATAGAAGTTGTAAAAAAGTTCAACGTTTGACAACTTTTTTCTATTTGTAACAGTGCTTACCAGTCTGTTGACACTGCATCATGTCAATACCAAAGTGTCGCAAGTGCTTGGCTAGTTGGGTATCAATTACCATATCATCTTCATCATATGAGTACACATCACCACCCTGAAGATTTAACAGTTACCCTCCAAAACACCGTGCACTGGTTATTAGGACAGAGATAGTGCGTAAGATGATAACATTACCATTAAAACTTCCGTAATTTAATTACAATGTAGCGTAAATTAATTACACTTAACCTGGGGAGTAATGGTTCCCAGTTTCACAGCTAGCGGGTATTTAGTCTGATCGTAGTAATCAATAGCATGATTATTACCACCCGTACCGTCGAAGTATTTCCTGCCACAAAAGATGGTACCGCAAGTTAGGTTCATCCACAAGTTGTCTGTTTTATCACAGCCGACTACGGAACACTTCCATGGTCCAGGGGCTACCTAGGGGGTGTGATTGGTTTTCTTCAGGAAAATATCAGGTCTAATCTCCTAGAGCTTTTTGGAACTGACTGTGCTTGTGTGCTAGATACATTATGCAATCAATCAACGATTACTATCAATAATTCATTCCAAGCTGAGTTAAGGAGCTAACTGCCACCGAATATAAAAGGTAGTTAAATATGATTAATGATTACCTGAACACCATTGCTGAGTTGGGTTAAAGTATCGGAATGTTTGGAATTTGCTCTGACATCTCCCTCCCACTGGTTATTCTGATCCTGCTGACCTAAAAAAGGAAACTTTAATGATTGAAGAAAGTGCAGCCAGATGGAGCATGATAATCGAAACTGCCGATAATGTTGGCTATTTCAAGGTATTTATCACTATGCTGTTCATAACTACTGTTAGTTTAATGTCTTACCTGCAGAGGAGAAAGCTATGACGTTGTTAGCAGTTTGACTAACTATGTCTGGTATAGAGGGACCCCCAAAGTCTAGATCCTGTCCTGCTCCATCTCCTCCACGAACGTGAATACTGTATATATCCTGGTATTGGTTAAATGATTTAAGTAGAGTTAACTATCCTCCCACAATTCGATAAGAAATATAATGTATTAAATTCGGAATTTCAAGCCATTGAAGAGAGGTTATATATCCGTTTAATACTAATAACTTAAAGTTACTGCACAGTGATGGTGTGTTTGATCTCCAACTGGGCACTGACCTGGTACTCAAAGTTATCTTTATCCTCAAATCCACCCTCCACGCCAATAGCCAGTCTTGTTATCTTAGCTGGAGGATCTTCAGAGTCGTCTGTAGCAGGCCTGCGCTCTTTACTTCTTTCGCGTGCTTCAAATATACACCCGGCTGTGGAAAATTTATTAGTATCATCTAATACACTGACCATGCGTCATTTGAATTAAATAAATTGTGCAGCACAAATTTGATTTTATAAAATTGAAATTGGAAGTCAAGCAAACACATTGACTCCAAGTTAGCAAATTGATTTGCAATTATACGCAACCCAGAAGTAAGTTGTTTGGATCAGCCAATAATACCTTGTTGACATGTTGAGAACAGTGGCCCCAATACTTCTCAAAGTCAATGTAGAGAGGACCGTGGAGAGGTGTATCAAAACAGTAGACACACTGATCCTTGTAGATCTTAGTGGAGTGGCTCAGAGGACTGATACTACTAAGCAAACTCTCCATGTCCTTATTTGGAGTCAGGGTTAGTGAAGTTCGGATTACAAATACAAAGCTATAACAGGAGTAAATGTAAATTGGAATTGTTTGGTTTACTTACACCGAGGGGATGGACTGACGCCGAGTGTAATATATTTTGTTCAGTTTACTAGAGTGAAAAGCGTACATTGGTCAAAACACCATAATCTTAAAAAGCAAAGGTATTTAGTATAGTGGAATTTAAAAAATTGCAAATCATATCATACAAATTGTCTCAAAACCGAATAAAAATGTCTGAAAAAATATAGAAATCTTTTAAAAAGTATCTGAAAAGCTGAAATAGCCAAATCACAGTTTATCTGTTTCTTTAAACAAATATCACTTGGTCCAGTGTCCTATCCGAGTCAGTGGTTGGAACATTATCCAACATCTGTACACTGTACGCCAGAGCAATAGTGTACGGCTGCTTACCCCACCTACTCTCGTACTTTGTGAGGTAGTTGTCATAGTAACCTTTACCTCTTCCTATTCGTAGTCCTGAGATTTAACCAGAAATAGTTTAGGTTGAATTGTTGAATTGTACAGAGGACAATGTGAAGTTGATCAAGTATGCCTAATGCATTGCAGTGTTTCATCTTTGGTTGCATCAACCTGCTAAGACATACAATTAAAGATGATTGCTTTTAAACAAACAATATCCTACCTTCCTTAGTGAAGCCAAGACCAGGACAGAGGATGAGATCTAGTCCAGTTGTACTAATAGCATGTTCTCTCACTTTATAATCAGTCGGCTGCCTGAAATTAACTAATTTTAGGAAAAAAATATATTCAGATAATATTTATGGCATATCAATGAAATATTTGAGTAAGGAGTGAATAATCTCAGTTACCATTTACCACTATGAAGAACAGTCTACACAGTCTACACAGTCTACACTGTCAGCACAGTCAGCACAGTCTACACAGTCTACACTGCCTACACAGTCAGCACAAATCCCACTCACCTCACCCCATAAGTATCCAGAGGAAGAGACGTATAGTCCTCTAAATCTTTGATTTTAACCATAACCATCTCCTCTTTGTTAAAGTAGGGGACAAACAGACTCTTTTTTGTTTCCAGAATGCTCGTTATTATCGCACGTGTACACACTTCCTCTGACATAGAGACATATACTGAAATATGGTCCAAGATCATGATACCGATCACGTTAATTAATTAACCTGGATTGGGACAAAAGTAGTTGAGACGTATTATAGACTATACTATAAATCTACAGTGATCAAATTTCTAGTAAATTAATAGACATAAAACTGTTAAGAAAAAGTGCATCTTGGTAACCAGGTAACGGATCATTTCTGATACAAATTAATGGGCATTCAATCCAGCACTTACCACAAATATTCTGACAACTGCTGTATTTCTCACTCGCAAGAACTTTTCCGGCGACGATACTGCTTTCCTTTGCTTTGTCAGCTTCTGTCATTTGTCTGAGCCGGTCTTTCAGCTGTTTTCTCAGTAACTTTTTGGCAGCAAATATCGCACATGACATTCCCCCTACTTATTAAATAAGTGTTTAGTTTACAAATACAATTCATAAATCTATTTAATAGACACGTCTTGTTGTATTGGTGGTTATAAGAATCTTACATGAGTTTATCTTGTAGTGAAACCCGTGAGAACATTTAATGAACACATAATCAAGTTTTGTTAAACATAAATTTGATTCTAAATAAGAAATATTAAATACGCTATTGCAATCTGATGAAATATAGCATAAAAAAATTTCCTTGTTAAAAATAATTGGGCGAAAACCAGTAAAAAGCTGGTAAAAAGTAGGTGATAGATTGTCAAAAATTCTCGTTGTATGTATGTAAGCTTAAGCACTGTAATAAAGCACCTAATAAGATCCTTTACTCCATCTTCATAGTTAATTGCCTGGTATTTAGTTGATTTTATGTAATTCAATCAATCATTCATCTCATTAATATATCATTTCTCATTTACATAATATTGTAGCTTTCAACCGTTTTGTCTACGATGAGTAGAATGCTTCCCTCTGTTAGACTTTCTGCCCCTCTGGGAGTTCGATTGCACTTTTTTAATCTCTGATGTTGCTGTACGATACAAAGCAGAGATGTTCTTTTCCAGAATATTGTTTTCTTCCTTCAATAATTTATTCTCTTCTCTGAGTTTTGCTATTTCAGTGAATGCATTTTCCAGCTCATCCGTGAGTTCTTGGACCTGATTAAATTAAATATATAATAAAAATATATATTATATTACATAATATGATTATGGCCTCATTGATGAAATATGAATTACAATTTAAAGTAATATTTGAAAAATAAACAAAATTAAAAAGGAAATAATATTTTGGAATTAACCAAACCTTATAGTCGGCAGCTGACTGATCTTCAATAAAATCATCTTGAGGAACTTCTATCTCACTCTCTAGAGCTTGATCTGCGTTTGGTAAACAGTCTAGTTCACTGTACAATATCTCGTCTAGATCATCGCACATGGCTGAAAAATGAACATCAGTTAAACTTATTAAACATTAAATCGCTTGTTGCTCGGTGTCTGCTTCCAAAATCCAAACTAATCAGATGAAAATCATAGAAAATTTTAAGCTTAGTCTATGCTAGTCGTAGTTTTCAAGCTTGTTTCTTGAAACTAACCCAATTAAGGATTTGCATGTTGCTTGTGTGGGGCTTGTGCCAGTAAATCAATGAAGATATTATATCGTTTAAAAAAGATTTTTATAAAAATTTTAAATCAAAACAGAATATAGTCACTTACTAAAAATATATAACGAGACAACATCTTTGAAATTAAAAAATTAAAAATTACACTTTTTTATGTAAAATTAAAAAAAAAAAAATCGCATATTCTGACAACACGTTACGGTCTTTTTTAAATAAAAAGAATTTATTAAAATTATACTTCAAACACATTAAGATATTAACAGACACTACATAAAAAATTTAATTAAATTTTGACATGAAACTATAAATTTTAAAAATCACTGTGTATTTCCCTTATTAATATGATCGAAAATAAATAGTCCTGCTACCATGATCATACTCTATTTAATTCGCCCTCAGGAATCTTACAGAATTATAAAGATTTTTGTTAAATTGAGTCTTGTATTATTGGTAATTTGAATCGAAGTATTTATAAGACGAGACAACACTTTTCAGATTAAAAAATTGAACTAATATAAAAAATATAAATATTGCACATTCTGATTAAACTGTTCAGTATTTTATCAATAAAAATCAAATTACAGTTATGCATCAAACATATTAAAAACGCTGCAAATTTTAATATAAAATATAAAAATACTACAATATAAAAATAAAAATATAGACATTATTATGAGCGCATCATACTCAGTACCAGCAATCAGCAGTCTTTGTACAGAGTATTGTCAACTTGTATACTATTTCTGTAAAAGATGTCACATGCCATCATCAATCATCAATGTTCTCAAAATTATCACAACTTTTTTTCCTTTTTTCTTTTTCTTTTTTCTAAGGACCAATACATTTAACCATGCTAGATTAATTAGGAGGTGAGGAATCTATTCTCTTAACAATAATATGACCTCACAAAACTATAAAGCTATAAGTATAAAACTTTGGTTACTCTAGTCTAGGCTAGTATCATAGTACACATTGATAAAATACTTTAAATTATGGTTTGTCACTTTATCGCTGTTCACATTCAGGAAATCTTCACATGCTCGAGGTAAACCACTAAACATTACTCTGCTCATTTCAGAGCTGACAGCTTCGTGAGATAGGTCTTTGATGAAAGAGGTCAGTTCTCTCAAGAATTCCAAGCTGTTATCTTGAGAATGGTCGAGGTAGGAGATCAAAGTTTTGATTATAAGAGTTGGCATTCCCGAAAGCGTTTTTTGAGGCAGTGTGTTTACCCCAAATACGGAAGGGTTCGATTTGGCAATTTCAGAGCAGATGAGTTCCGGGAATTTTTCAGTCATTTTCCATGTTGCTCTAAGAACATCAATGTGTGTGCAAAGGCCAGTATTAGATATTTCAACATTTTCCTCAGTTTCCGATGAGTGATATAAAAATAGCATCTTTCTATCTAAAATTCGGAAACTTTCCCAGGTAATCACTATGCTAGGAGACACATCTTTGACGAAGAAGACAGGATCAATGTCGTCCAATGCATAAGCAGCAGCTTTTCTCATAATATCTGAGATTTGTGAACAAATAGGACGTCCTTCATCATTAGAATGGTCAATATAATTCTTTTGCTTTTTAGCTAGGTCTGGTAAAAAGTCTAGCAACTTTTCCATAAGTACCCTTCTATCCATCAGTTGGCTCAGACCAATTAGTATATTTAAAAGCTGAGATGTGAAAAATGGTAACTCTTTAATTATAGTTAAAGCTCTTCCAATCCCACAAACAAAATCGCACTCTTCTAACACATGCAATTGTGATTCTATTTGACCCAAGTCATCGTTTTTGACCAATACTAGCTTTTTCACGATAACAGACAATATTCCTATTATCATGCCAAACTTTGTTTCTGAAATAAAGTCTATGCACAGTTCTGTTTGTGAGATCAAGTCTATGCACAGTTCTGTTTGTGAGATCAAGTCCATGCACAGTGGTATACCAGGCATCATTTCATCAATATTTTGTAAGGTGACACGGTGTTCCGAGCTCTCTTCTGTACAAAAGTACTGACATATCACTCTCCAAGCAAGTAACTTAATGTCTTCGCCAACATTGTGATTGTGCAATACCTTGACATTCTGAACCAACAAAGCAATGTGACCTGGAGCTCTGAGCTCATTTAAGGCCAAGTTGTCTTTGTCAAACGCTATACTATTACCAAAAAGCATTGCTATTAGGCGAGTTCCTTTTGCAAGAAAATCAACCGAATGCTTCTGAAAATCTAATAGAGCAGGCAAGCATTGGTTTATTGAACGAAAATCTTTGTAAACAATAGAACATTTAAGAATATCATACATTATAATCAGTGTATCGAGTAAGCAGTTCAACTTTTCATGACGCATTTCTGTAGAGTTCAATTCCACAACCAAGTACACAATCAGTCTTTTAAACAGTTTTTCCTTCACATAAAACTCGCAATCTTTTCTATCACCACCTTGCAGATAAATAGAAATATTTTTCACTACATTTTCGAATGCCCAGTTATCTTTTGAAACTTGAGAGAGATTTTTTACTGCAACTTCAGTCAAAATCCGGAATTCAGTGTTAAGCCCATACATCTGTTCTTTGGTCTCAGTGTAGGATACAAGAAGAAGAATTATATGAAAAGTCTGTATCATATCATTCAGGTACCGTTTCACAAAAGTAATGTCATTACTCATCTGACCGAATAACATGAATAACTTATTAATTGTTCCGTCTTTTATATGGGACCTCACCATGGGCATACAGTTCGTCGAATGCCTTTCTTGTATCAAATAGTATTGGAATATGTAAAAACTTGTCTTATAGACGCGTTCGTAATCGCTATCCATGTTCTCTGCGGTTTTAAGAAGCAGTGGAAGCTCAGCAAAATGTCTCCTTCCCATTTTGTGCTCCGTTCGAAAAACCTTGTATTCTTGAAATCTGTATTTATGAATTGAGTCAATAAATTAACTGCCCTATGTATATCATGTATATCAACAATCATAGGAAGGAGGTGCAGGATAGTTTTGATTGCACCATTTTCCATCATACAACCAGTAAACATAGGATTAGGATCATGTTCAGTCTTAACATTATCAATGTATCCATTCCACCCAATGTAAAACAGGTTGTTCAATATCACAGATGTAACAGACTTGAGACTCTGTACGACGTAACTGTTTCAGTAGTTTACAAAGCGTGGCAATCGTTGTTTGGTCACCGTTCAGCACCGTGATAAACTCTGAAATAGATGAAAAGGTAAACGCTCACCAAATCTAATTAGAAATAAAGTGAGGGTAGTGTAACTGCTAGCTATGAATTATCACAAGAAAATCCGATTTTGCTAGTAATAATCTTAACCGGTCATCTATTATAGATATAATTTGGAGCTTAGGCAATAAATGCCCATTACTTCATTTCAAATTCAGACTTACCATCATGAGTGCCGGCTGTGTGTAAATCACAATATTTACTAATTTCACAGAGTCCTTCAACTTTGATGCTGATGTCGTTAGAGTGATTGAGCTGATGAATAGCTTTGTGAATACCTTCCATATTGTGTACATTATTTCCTGAAACAAGAGATTCCATCTTAAAAAGTCATACACTCTGTAAACATAAAGCTAATCTGTAAATTTCGAGCTCTTCTTTAAAAATACTTATAATATTTAGTCTAGTAGTTTTGGTTAGGGTTATGATCAGATTTATGGTGTGGGTTTAGTTTAGATTCAAGTTTAAAGCTTAATATAAAGCACCCAAATTAGTCACAACAAAATTATGCCGCAATGATATAATTAAGAGATTGACAATGGACATGGTTGTTGTAAAATCGTGTTTAGATTTTAAAATGTCATATAAATCATGAGTCGTTAAAATTTAAAAGGA